TGGTTTCTCTTTAACCCTCTCAAGACTGACAAATGGTAATCATGATCATAACAGATTAACAAGGATGTGGCAAGTGATGGCAGAGAGTCATCAGATACAGAAACGAACACTAGACGAAGCCAAACTGTTACTTGCAGGAACCCCGGTTTCAAAGCGTCACAAGAAGAGACAACCTTCAATAATGCCAGAGACTATCAACTCTCAAAGATTAGCTCAATCTGCATTGAATCTTGAAACTCAGCTTCGAAACTGGAGAGCCTGTTTTGACTTCTGGATCACATCTCAAAGATCCTACATGAAAGCATTATCCGGTTGGCTACTCAGATGTTTCAGGTGTGACCCTGACCCGGAGAAAGTTAGATTATCCTCATGTCCTCACCCGATATACCGCGTCTGCATCCAATGGTCAAGATTACTTAACAGCTTGAACGAGAAACCGGTTTTGGACAAACTTGAGTTCTTTGCCTCAGGGATGGGTTCAATCTATGCAAGACAGGTTAGAGAAGATCCTAACTGGAGCGGAAGCGGGTCAAGAAGATATTCTGGGTCAGAAAGCATGGACCTAGTGGTGGCTGATAAGGTAGAAGAAGACGTTGTGATGACTGCTGAGAAACTTGCAGAGGTTGCAGTGAAGGTTCTCTGCCATGGAATGTCTGTTGCAGTGAGCTCGCTCGCCGAGTTTGCTATCAACTCAGCTGATGAACACTCGAAGCTTGTTAACCAACCAGAGGACGACGCCTCGTCGGGGCAGCTTCCAGATGTAAATTCCAATTCCTAATTGTTCTTTAATTGATTTGGTGTTTAGAGAGTTTAGAATTAGGTAGGTTTTTGGAATCATCTTTTGCTATCAGAAGATAGTTTGTAGATGGATGGGATTTGTATTATTAGCAAGACAAATAGAGTTTAGTTCAGTTGATTTTGAGTATGTACCAAGAGTCTTCCAATTTTGGATTCTGGTATACCGGATTTCGGTATTTTATCTGGTTAACTGGTTCCCTAGGCTAGAAGTGGCAACCTGCTTATGTCTTAAAACCAAAGAAATTTATATGAAAGCCAATAGTCATTTCAGAACGAAAATTCATTATAATGTGACTAACTAAGAGCTCAAGAGAAAAACAGAGATTATTGGTTCTTTTTCTCTTAGTCTAGGAAGAAGAGTTTGCTTCCGGGTTACCAGTCCATTTAATAAGAGTCATCTTCATCCTCATACTCTGGTTCATCAGAACTAGCTGCTCCCATCACGGATAAGTATATGATGACTGCCAGGAACTGAGCAGCTAGAAAGAATCTTGCTCTACTCTTGAATTTTTTCTCCTCTGCGGTCTTTTCCGTCTTTGGTTTGCTCTTTGGCTTCGAACCTAAACAAACAGATGAGATTCATTTGTTTCACAGACTTAGAGAAGTGCAAATTTGTTTGAACATATGACAGACACATAGCGTAATAAGAAATTTGACGAGTATATGATATGGAAGTTGTAAGGTTTGGATGTGTCTTACCTTTTCTTGGAAAGGAGGAAGGGAATGATTGAAGTGGCGGCGAAGGCGTTGAAGAAGAGTCTACGAGGAACTCTGACTTAAGTCTCTCAGCATATCTGACAAGATTACCATGTTCCAGAAGTTTGCCCCGAAGCACTGATGCTTCCTGATCATGCACCGTAACGAAAACTAATTAATCTAAATTGTTCAAGGAAGCCTAGATTCTACCTGATAATCCAATACGCGAAAAGTAAATCGGTTGAATTTTGTAAAGCTGCTTACTGGTAATGCTTGGATTGTAAAAAGAATGTGCGAGAGAAAGAACGCATCCAAACTCGATGGCCTGCGGGAAGAGAATAAGAGAAACATCCTCAGTCTTTTATAAAAGGCTTACGAGAAAGAATACCAAAATCTCAATGTGATTGCATTACTTGTCTTCAAAGAGAAAGTTCTGCTCTCCTAACCTAGCCGACAAAGCTTCATATGCCTCACTTGCCCTCTTGTACATCTGTTCATTTAAGAACCCTGAACTTTAGTAGATAGTTCAAATGTTTTCAAATATAGATCACATACGTTCTTTATCACCAGCAAAATTCCAGAAAAAGCTACCTGTTTTTCTCTTTGCTCTGCGTTTTCTTTCGTGATTCCTAGACGGTTCTTGGCCATGTATGTCTGCTTGTAAAACAAGACCTTGCCGATCACCCAAGGAAGATCCGAGTAGTAGACTTTCGACGCAGATATTCCCTCGGTACCAACCCATAGCTCATACGTAAGCGCTTCTTCCAGCCAAGAAACAATAAGAGCCTTCAACGATAAGTAATCCGGAAGAGACTGGAGCTGAGAGTCAAGATTGACAATCCCGTCTTTCTTCAGTTTATCAATAACTCCTCCCTCTTCATTGTTGTATGCAACATATGTACCAGATTCAAAGTACGGCAGTTCATCTACATTTAGAAACCACACAAATGATAACATATCTAAAGCACAAATCTGCGTATACGACAAAAGATGCCGAAATCTCAAACCGCAAACGTGTACAAATAATCTCTGGAGATAATCTTCAATATACAAACTCAATAGCTGAATCAAGCTAGCTACTAATTCCTCTTGAATAAAGTATAAAATTCTCATATACGCATTTGAACAAAACACCATTATTCTCTTTCAAAAATTTAGACAGGATTTAACAAGCAAGTATACGAGCATTTCAACCAAAATCCATAAGAAGTAATTATGAACCCTTCACATCCAGAAAATTCACCAATGTGTCTTCCTCTCAAAAAGAATCCATCAAACCTCAAAACCCTAATTAAACCCTGATTAACCGAATAGCTTAATGGTGCGAATTCGAATCCAGAACTATAGTATTCGAACCTCGATTCAAGCTAAATATAGCATTACACTTCGAACACAGATACATATTACACAAATTCTAACACTCAAGCACCGAGAAGCACATCGATTTCATACCAAAAGAACAAACCTGAATCAGGGAAGGTCGAATTGAAGGCAAGTTCAAAAGGAAGCTGGGCTAGTTTGAGGTAGATGTAAACAGGAAGGCAATTAGGGCAAGCAGTAGGGAGATCGAAGGAAGGCTTCCTCGTGACCAAAGTGAAATTCGTTGGTGTTTCTTGATCGACTTCCATTATCGTGTTAGAGCTCTGATTTTGGGTCGATGGTGGTGAATGCTTCAGAGTTTAATCGTCAATCGGAGAGACTTGGAGAGAAGAGAAGATCCAGTCGGGTTTAGATACGGGTTCGGAGTAGTCGGTCGGGTTTTAAAACTAGGGTTTATTAAACCGACCACCCGATTTGGGCTTTATATGGCCCATGGACTTTCCCAATAAGGCGATAACTAGTGTTGTTTTTTTCGGTGTATAACAAAAAAAATTAAGTTAATTAAAAAATAAGTAAAATGGGAGTAGGTTACAAAATCATGACCATTAGATGAAAATTTTGGTTAGATTTTAGATTATAATTTTGTTTTTATGTTATTTTTGCCAATTTACCATAAAAAAATGAGATAGAATTTGAATAGTGGGTTCAATACACAAAATTTACTATCTGAAACATATTTAAAGTTTTTCTAAACATACACGAACCATCATCTTTTGTTTTTTTGTGATTTGAGAAAATATTTAGGGTTCAATATTTTTTAATGAACTTAAAAGTTTTTTTTTGTTTTAAATAGGTTTTGCCCTTATAGTTAGGGTTGGCTCAAAACTAAAATAGGTCCAAAGGTAAAAAAAAATTTTTAACCCCCTAATTTACTTTTAATTGTTTTGTTTCTAAATAAAAAAGTTAAAAATTTTTTTTAGTAAATTCAGTTAATTAAATATGAAATTACGTTACAAACAAAATATAGGGCCTTTTTATTTATTTTTAACTAAATTTTATCTAAATTTTATTAAAAAAAAAAAAATTTATAAAAGATTTTTTTTTTTTTAATTTTGGGCTCTTTAATTCTTGGGACACTGGGTGGGGCCCGAGGCATCTCACCACATGTCCCCTGCCTGAGCCGGCCCTACTTACAGTCAACGACAATAACAATGTTATTTCGGCATTTTTTATGGATAGTTCGAGTAAACCAAACCCATTTCTTATCCACTTTTTTACACATTGGAATGTAATATGCCTATCCAAACGGGTAATTGTAATTTTTCGTTTCCGAAAATTTTGCGAAATTCGGATGGGAATTGAGCTAGAATGGGTAAACATGTTATGAACATGCCTAACTTAGGGAGTGTTCTTTTTTTTGTTTGTTAAGTCTTGAAGTGTGTTCTTATTTTAAAACCGTAATTCGATGTTACTTTGGCTTTAAATGGTGCTTTGTACACACTAGAACAGACGGAGGATAGAAGAAAAAATATGACATATGTTGTCTCTGTTATTTGTTTGCTCCGTTGCATAAGGAGTAACCACATATATTGGTAGTATATTAGATTACTTTTTTTTTGGTAGAATATATTATATTACTTGTTGTAAATGTAAGATATATTGGCTAAAGTAGACATGTTTTTTTTATGGATACTAATAGACTTTGTATGAAACTTAGAAAAAGAACAAAAAGCATGATCGGACGAACCAACAAAGATAAACCTTATTATCACTTCCACTAAATAAGCTGCTTACAAGGAAACAAACTAAACCACGAGAAATACATTTTAATTGAGTGCTATAAAATTATGATAAACTCATAGGACGAAAAAATAAACTCAATATATTATATAAACATTACTTTACGACGAAAAAATAAAAGAGAGAAAAGAAAAGGGAAACCGGTTTGTGATATGGCTTCTATTATCTTCAAAGATACTCACACCGTAGTACCGGCTGAACAAACATGGACCGGCCGGTTTCCATTAGCCGAATGGGATCAAGTTGGTACAATAACTCACGTTCCAACCGTTTACTTCTATGACAAGCCATCTGAATCATTCCAAGGCAATGTAGTCGAAACCCTTAAAAACTCATTGAGCCGTGCGCTTGTACATTTTTACCCTATGGCCGGACGTCTCAGGTGGCTACCACGGGGCCGGTTCGAGCTCAATTGTAACACCGCTGGAGTGACGTTCATCGAAGCGGAATCCGAGGCCGTGCTTACTGATTTCAACGACTACTCTCCGACCCCGGAATTCGAGAAACTTATGCCGCAAGTAAACTATAAAAACCCTATCGAAACGATTCCTCTCGTTTTAGCACAGCTCACTACATTAAAATGCGGAGGATTAAGCCTTGGCGTCAACATTTCGCACGCAGTTGTCGATGGCCAAAGCGCGCTTCACTTCTTGTCTGAATGGGGAAGAATCGCACGCGGCGAGCCAATAGAAATCGTCCCGTTTCTCGACCGGAAAATACTCTGGGCTGGTAAACCGCTTCCGCCATTTGCCTCGCCCCCGCGGTTCGACCACAAAGAATTTGAACAGCCGCCGTTATTGATCGGAGAAACAGACAATGTAGAAGAAAGAAAGAAGAAAACGACCGTGGTGATGCTAAAACTGAGCAAATCTCAGCTTGAGAAGCTTAAAAGCAGAGTGAACACGAGCAAATACGCTGATCCAGCGAGAGGGTTTACACGGTACGAGACGGTCACGGGTCACGTGTGGAGGTGCGCGTGTAAAGCACGTGGTCACTCGCCGGAGCAACCCACGGCTCTAGGAATCTGTGTAGATATTCGTAATCGGATGCAGCCACCTCTGCCACCTGGCTACTTCGGCAATGCCACTCTTGATGTGGTCGCAGCAAGCACCTCAGGTACCTTTTGTCTAATTTTTTAAACTCGTTTGTGTTTTTTTTCAGTTGGGTATATTTGAGATTTGTGCTTTCATGCAGTACATGTTTAACATATTAAATCCGTTTCTTAATAATACTTAGTTTAGCTTATTGTGCATACGTGTTACTATTTACTAACCAATAATTTCTTACCATCTCAACTTATATTAAAAGAATTCACCAATCGGACATGCGTAGGCTAGCAGCAGAAATTAAATAATTCTAGAACATTTATCGTATGAACTTGAATTTTGGATGGAAGATGTCTTTGGTTGCTTCTCAACTACGTAAAGGCTGACCAATCTTATAATGGTTTTCCCGTTTATTGGGACTTAAGGTAGGTTGAGTAAGTTAGTGTCCTACAATGCAAATTCTGTATTTCGATAATTTCGCTATACATATATAGGTGAATTGATATCGAATGAGTTGGGTTTCGCGGCGGAAAAAATCAGTAAAGCCATAAAGAATGTGACAAACGAGTACGTGATGATTGGGATTGAGTATCTAAAGAACCAAGATGACCTGAAGAAGTTTCAAGATCTACATGCCTTGGGTAGCACGGAAGGTCCATTCTATGGAAACCCTAATCTTGGATTAGTGAGCTGGTTAACTCTCCCCATGTACGGCCTTGATTTTGGATGGGGCAAGGAGGTTTACATGGGACCTGGCACGCATGACTTCGACGGCGACTCACTGCTATTGACGAATCAAAATGAAGTTGGCTCGGTGATTCTCGCCACGTGTCTACAAGTGGCTCACATGGAGGCCTTCAAGAAACACTTTTATGAAGATATCTAGGGTTATATACACACACACACGTTATCATATACTTATTATGCATTTTCATTTTCATTTGAATAAGGATTCGATTCGAGTAGGGATTCTACTACTGTTGTGGTTCTTGAATTG